GTCTCATTAAGAGCCACATCCGCTGTTTTAATGTGGTGAGATGTGTTCCACACTGGGCATGCATACTCAGCAGCAGAGTAGCATAGCGCAAGGGCAGATGTCTTCACTGTGTCTGGTTGTGATCCCCAGGTTGTGCCAGTCAGCTTTCGTATGATATTGTTTCTAGCACCCACGTTTTGCTTGACATTCAGGCAGTGCTTCTTGTAGGTCAGAGCATGGTCCAGAATGACTCCCAGGTATTTGGGTGTGCTGCAGTGCTCCAGTGGGATTCCTTCCCAGGTAATCCTCAGAGCTCAGGATGCTTGTCTGTTCTTAAGGTGAAAGGCACATGTCTGTGTTTTTGATGGATTAGGGATCATCTGGTTTTCCCTGTAATAGGCAGTAAGAGCACCTAGAGCTTCGGAGAGCTTCTGTTCAACCATCTCAAAGCTCCCTGCTTGAGCGGTAATGGCATGATCATCAGCATAGATGAAACTCTCTGTCCCTTCTGGCAGTGGCTGGTCATTTGTGTAAATGCTGAACATTGATGGAGCAAGCATGCTTTCCTGAGGCAGGTAATTCTTCTGTTTCCACTATCTGCTTCTCTGTCCCTGGAACTCAACAAAAAAGCTCCTGTTTTGTAGCAGGTTTCCTATGAGGCAGGTGAGATGGTAGTCCTTTGTGATATTATACATTTTTCTCAGGAGGAGGCAGTGGTTCATAGTATTATAGGCTGCTGACAGTTCTATGAAGACAGCTCCTGTGATCTGCTGCCTTTAACTGCAACAGCTGCATTCCATGGAATTTTGGGTACTGTAGTTTAGAAAGGCCCCAAAGTAAGTCTGATTAGATTTGCAAGCAGAACCAAATCTTTCATTTTACGACATATCCATGACGTGAGAAACCGTATGCGATGGTGCTGGTGATACAATTATGTGGAACGTCTTCATTTCACTTCCTCCCTCATAGGGCCTAAGGAAATTCTAATCTGGCTGTCACTTAGCATCTTTTCCTACCTATTTCCTGAGTGGGTGTGCAATGCAATCTCAATAGCTCTGTTTCCTTCCTGAATAGACAGGAATGACAAGCTACCGACGAAGGCATCTGTGGTTCCGTTACTGTCAACAAAGCCAGCCTGAAGCTGTCATCAGCAGTGGCCCTGTATCTATCCATTCTAAAGTTTTAGTCTAAAGTTTTGAAGAGTCCTGCCCACCATCCTCAAAAAGGGTTCAAAAGGGTTTATTTGCCACTAGCTGTCCCCTGCCACGCGTTGCTGTGGCCCAGTCTGTTGATCTGGAAAATCAAGTAATGAGAAAATGTTGGTTTCTAATATATGTAATTTTTTTATGCTTGTGGGTAAACAGTATTTCTTGCTGTTTCTTTGTCAGTGTTGATGTGGAGAGTGTCTGGTTTGCCTACTCTGGAACATGCAATATGCAAATTGTCCTTCTTTAAGGGTCCCTTTCAAATCTATCATACTATATCTCTACTATATTAGAAACCAACACTTTCTCATTACTTGATTTTCCAGGTCATCAGACTGGGCCACAGCAACGCGTGGCAGGGGACAGCTAGTAAATCAATAAATCAATCAATAAATAAATAAATAAATAAAGGATTTAAACTAATCTGGTCCTAAGTCTGGACTTTCCGGCCAGCCCAGGATATTATATGCGCTTCCCACTTTTGCAGAAGCATTCAGTTTCAGTAAGTGATGCCTGGCATGCCTTACAGAAGCTATTGTTGTGGGCAGACTTTTCTGAATCTAGTGTGTGACGAAAAACTACCCTCCTTGTCACAGCTTCCTTTTAAACACAGCAAAAAATTTCAGAGATCAGCATCAAAACCATGTCTGGTGAACCCAAGCACTCACTAAAATCTCATTTCCCCTTAAGCTGATGATGCAATTTGTGGCAACGATGGCATTGGCAATATGATGCTGTATTACCAGAGGTTGCCACCCTTAAAGTTAAAAACTGCTTTAAAAAACAATTTCTTTAGAAATTCTGGAGAACCCATGTCATTTTATTCAAGTGGGATTTTGGCCTGCATCAATAGGAGCGTAGTGCCTAGATCCAGGGAAGTCATGCTACCTCTCAATTCCCTTAGCCAGAACACACATGGAATATTGTGTCCAATTCTGGGCATCACAATTGAAGGGAGATGTCAACAAGCTGGAATGTGGCCAGAGGAGGGCGACTAAAATGATCAAAGATCTGGAGAACAAGCCCTATGAAGAGCGGCTTAAAGAGCTGGGCATGTTTAGCCTGCAGAAGAGAACGCTGAGAGGAGACCTCATGAGGACCATGCGTCAAGATGTGGGGAGAAATCATAGGGAGGAGGAAGCAAGCTTGTTTTCTAGGACATGGAACAATGGCTTCAAACTACAGGAAAGGAACTCACAACCCCAGAGTATGGTGGAGGCTCCTTTTGGGTTGGGGGGGGGGCTTTTAAACAGGAGCTGGATGGCCATCTGTCGGGGGTGCTTTGAATGCCATTTTCCTGCTTCTTGGCAGGGGGTTGGACTGGATGGCCCATGAGGTCTCTTCCAACTCTAGGATTCTATGATTCTATTTATGTTAAATGTTTTAACTGTTTTTATATTATTGTGGGCATCGAATTGTGCCGTTTTGTAAACCGCCCTGAGTTGCCCTTGGGCTGAGAATGGCGGTATAGAAATATAGTAAACTAGCTGTACCCGCCACGCGTTGCTGTGGCCAATCTTCCCTTTTACCCTCCTTCTTTCCCTCCTTCCTTCACTCCCTCTTTCCTTCCTTCCTGTCTTTCCTTCTCTTCTTCCTTCCTCCTCTATCTATTTCCTTCCTTCCCCCTTTTTCTTTCTCTTTTGCTCTCTTTTCTTCCTTCTCTCTTTCCTTCTTTCCTTCCCTCCCTCTTTCTCTACATCTTCCCCCTTCCTTCACCCTCTCTACCTCTTTCCTTCCTTCTCTCTTTCCTTCCATGCTTCCTTCTCCCTTTCCTTCTTTCTTTTCCTCCCGCTTTTTCTCCTTTCTTCCTTCTCTACCTCTTTCCTTCCTTCCTTCTCTCTTTGCTTCCATGCTTTCTTTTCTCCCTTTCTTCCTTTCCTCCTCCCTCCTCTTTCCTTCCTTCCTTCCTTCCTTTTCTTTCTTCCTTTCTTTCTCTTCTCTTTTTTTTCTTTCTTTCTTTCTTTCTTTCTTTCTTTCTTTCTTCTTCCTTCATTCCTTCCTCTTTCTTCCCTTTTTTCTGTATTGTATTAGCTTTTCATCATTTAGCTTTTTTGGGCTTTTAAAGTCCCTTCTGCTGTGTTTTTCAGTGTTTTTATGAGTGAAGGACATAGATTGGGTTGTTAGGTGTATTGTGTCCAATTTTGGTGTCAATTCCCCCAGTGGTTTTTGAGTTCTGTTAATACCACAAACGAACATTACATTTTTATTTATATAGACAAGCTGTCCCTTGCCACACATTGCTGTGGCCCAGTCCGGTGATCTGGAAAATAAAGTAATTAGAAAGTGTCGGTTTTTAATATATGTAATTTCTTTCTGCTTGTGGGTCAACAGTATTTCTTGCTGTTTCTATGTCAGTGTTGATGTGGAGATTGTCTGGTTTTCCTGCTCTGGAACATGCAAGATGGAAACTGTCCTTCTTTAGGGGTCCCTTTCAAATCTATACTATATCTCTCTGTGTGTGAATCATTTCTATCTATCTAATCTATGGCTGGATGGCTCTTTGTCAGGAGGGCTTTGATTACGTTTTCTTGCCCTGGTGGAGGGAGTTGGACTGGATGGCCTTCAGTATGGGGGTTCTGTGTGGGAAGTTTGCCCCAATTCTGTCGTTGGTGGGGTTCAGAATGCTCTTTGATTGTAGGTGAACTATAAATTCCAGCAACTACAACTCCCAAATGTCAAGGTCTATTTCCCCCAAACTCCATCTGTGTTCATATTTGGGCATATGGAATATTTGTGCTAAGTTTGGTTCAGATCCATCATTGTTTGAGTCCACAGTCCTCTCTGGATGTAGGTGAACTACAACTCCCAAACTGAAGGTCAATGGCTACCAAACCCTTCTATGTTTTCTGTTGGTCAGGGGAGTCCTGTGTGCCACCTTTGGTTCAATTCCATCACTGGTGGGGTTCAGAATGCTCTTTGATTGTAGTTGAACTATAAATCCCAGCAACTACAACTCCCAAATGACGAAATTTAAACAATTTTGAGTGAAGGACATACATTGGGCATATGGAATATTAGTGCCAAGTTTGGTCCAGATCCATCATTGTTTGAGTCCACAGTACTCTCTGAATGTAGGTGAACTACAACTTCCAAACTGAAGGTCAATGCCCACCAAACCCTTCTAGTGTGTTCTGTTGGTCATAGAAGTCCTGTATGCCATGTTTGGTTGAATTCCATCATTGGTGGAGTTCAGAATGCTCTTTGATTGTAGGTGAACTATAAATCCCAGCAACTACAACTCCCAAATGACAAAATCAATTCTTAAGTGATGGTCACTCATTGGCCTGAGAGGTGTCTTGTGTCCAAATGTGGTGTCAATTCGTCCAGTGGTTTTTGAGTTATGTGAATCCCACAAACGAACGTTACATTTTTATTTATATAGATAAACTAAATAAGTAAGTAAGTAAGTAAGTAAGTGGAAAACAGAGAGGTCCAAAGCAAGCTTAGAACCCCTGCTTTGGAGTAGTCCTCTTCAGTGCTTCCAAATTTCCCAGAAATAGGTCAATTGTGGGGCAGTCCAAGCCTGGGTTAGTGGACTGAGTGGTGGAGAACCATTCTGGAGGCCATACATACTGACTCAGCGCCATAGAGCTTGTGGTATAAGATGGGATCAACGACTTCGGGTGGCGTTTGCCTTGAGAGCAAGCCAGCAGAGAAATCCGTCCTTGCTGGGAAAGACAGTCCAGAGAGGAGAGGAGTGGAGAACTTCTGCCTGGCCTGGCAGAGAGTGGGAGGCGGGCGGTGGGAAGAGGAGGAGGAGGAGGCAGGAAGAGGAGCGCCCCCTGCTGGCCAAAGAGGTCCGAAGGCGCTCGCCAGGCAGCCTGCGCCCAGCTGGATCTCATCGACGGCCGAGCGGAGAGACGCGATGGAGGCGGGGGCTCCTCGCCAAGCCCAGTCCTCCACCCGGCTGCCCTGGCCTCTCATCGCCGCTGCTTCTGCCCCCCAGGTGAGTCGCCACGGGACCCTCTTGATCGCCCCCTGCCCCGAGTGCACGGCTTCCCCCCCCCCCCCCCCCCCAAGCCGGACTTTCTTTCCCTCTTTCCTTCCCTCCCTCGCTTCTCTCTTTCTCCGCTTCCCTTCTTCTCCCGCTCTGCCAAGACAGCCCCCCTTCTCTTTCTCTGGCGCCAAACTTCCCTCGTTCTCTGTCCCTTTGTCAGACCCATTTCTCGCCCTCCTTTCCCAGCTCGGACTTCTTGAAGCCCTTCTTTTTCTTTCGTTCGCCCTCCTCTGCGGTAGGACTCTGGCAGGAGACTCATCCTCTCTTAGAATGCTCCTTCCATCATTTTTCCCTTCCTTCTTTCCTTCCTTCTTTCCTTCCCTCATTTGTTTTCCCTTCTTCTTCCTCCCTTCCCTACTTTTTCCACACCCTTCTTCTTCTTTTCCCTCCTTCCCTCATTTTCCTTCCTTCCTTCTTCTTTCCTTCCCTCATTTGTCTTACCTCCCTCCTTCCTTCTTTTCTTCCTTCCCTACTTTCCCCCCTACCTTTCCTCTTTCCTTCCTTCCCTCCTTCCTTCCTTTTTCTTCTCTCCATCCCTTTTCCTTCCTTCTTTCCTTCCATCCTTCCTCCTCCTTTCCTTCACTCATTTATCTCCCCACCCTCCTTCTTTTCTTCCTTCCCTACTTTCCCCCTACCTTTCCTCTTTCCTTACCCCCTTCCTTTTTCTTCTCTCCATCCCTTTTCCTTCCTTCTTTCCTTCCATCCTTCCTCCTCCTTTCCTTCACTCATTTATCTCCCCACCCTCCTTCTTTTCTTCCTTCCCTACTTTCCCCCTACCTTTCCTCTTTCCTTACCCCCTTCCTTTTTCTTCTCTCCATCCCTTTTCCTTCCTTCTTTCCTTCCATCCTTCCTCCTCCTTTCCTTCACTCATTTATCTCCCCACCCTCCTTCTTTTCTTCCTTCCCTACTTTCCCCCTACCTTTCCTCTTTCCTTACCCCCTTCCTTTTTCTTCTCTCCATCCCTTTTCCTTCCTTCCCTCATTTGTTTTCCCTCCTTCCTTCTCTTCTTCCTTCCCTTCTTCCTTCCTTCTCTACTCCCCGCCACACTCTTCTTCTTTTCCCTCCTTCCCTCATTTTTCTTCCTTCCTTTCTCCTTCTTTCCTTCCCTCATTTGTCTTCCCTCCTTCTTTTCTGCCCTACTTTCCCCCTACCTTTCCTCTTTCCTCCCCCTTCCTTCATTTTTCTTCCTTCCATCCTTTTCCTTCCTTTCTTCCCTCCCTCCCTCCCTCATTTGTTTCCCTCCTTCCTTCTCTTCTTCCTTCCTTCCCTATTTTTCCCCAGCCTTCTTCTTCTTTTCCCTCCTTCCCTCATTTCCTTCCCTCCTTCCCGCCTTCCTTCATTTTTCTTCCCTCCATCCTTTTTCCTTCCTTCATCCATTCCCTCATTTGTTTTTCCTCCTTTCTTCCCTACTTTTCCCCCACCATTCTTCTTCTTTTTCCCTCCTTCCCTCATTTTTCTTCCTTCCTTTCTCCTTTTTCCCTTCCCTCATTTGTCTTAACTCCCTCCTTACTTTTTTTCTTCCTTCCCTACTTTCCCCCTACCTTTCCTCTTTCTTTCCCTCCTTCCTATTTTTTCTTCCTCTCCATCCTTTTCCTTCCTCCCTTTCCCTCATTTGTTTCCCTCATTCCTTCTCTTCTTCCTTCCTTCCCTACTTTTTCCCCAGCCTTCCTCTTCTTTTCCCTCCTTCCCTCATTTCCTTCCTTCCCTCCTTCCTTCATTTTTCTTCCCGCCATCCTTTTCCATCCTTCCTCCCTTCCCTCATTTGTTTCCCTCATTCCTTCTCTTCTTCCTTCCCTCCCTACTTTTTCCCCAGCCTTCTTCTTCTTTTCCCTCCTTCCCTCATTTCCTTCCTTCCCTCCTTCCTTCATTTTTCTTCCGGCCATCCTTTTCCATCCTTCCTCCCTTCCCTCATTTGTTTCCCTCATTCCTTCTCTTCTTCCTTCCCTCCCTACTTTTTCCCCAGCCTTCTTCTTCTTTTCCCTCCTTCTCTCATTTCCTTCCTTCCTTCATTTTTCTTCCTTCCTTTCTCCTTCATTCCTTCCCTCATTTGTTTTCCCCTCCTTCATTCTCTTCCTTCCCTACTTTCCTCCTTATCTTTCTTTTTTCTTAAGAATTTGGCCTAATTGGGATTTAATGATTTGCAGTGTTTCTGCTGCAAGTTCTTCTGTGGCAAGACTCATATTCAGTGGCATCTTGGTATATGTTAAGGTTTGGATATCAAAATCCACGGAGGTTCACAGGGGTAAAATGGTGTCCCTTATGTGGAATGACAAAATCAAAATCTGCTTTCTGGATTTTTAAATATATATATATATATATATATTCAAGCTATGGACGGTGGACTCCGTGATGCGGAATCTGGATATGTCTCTGAAACTGTGTCTGCACCACAGCGTCCATGGGGCCGTTGCCCGGTGCTCAAAGGCTCACCCAATGAGGGTCAGCATTTCCCCTGAATGCAACAGTTTTCTCCAATATGTTGTTATTGTTGTTGTTGTGTGCTTTCAAAGGGATTCCAGCTTTTGACTATGGTATCTTGAGGTTTTTCATTGGCAAGGAGGTCTTGCGATGGTCTCTTGCCTTCTGAAATGTAGCCTTGACAGCCCCTAGTGTTTTCCCATCTGAATGCTAAGCAGGGCTGAACCTGCTTAGATTTGAGATCAGACGGAATCTGCTGTCTTCCAAGTACAATGTTCAATTTTTCTTAAGAATGAGACATTTATTTAACGGGGAGGATGTGAATCACTGGGCTTTTTTCTCATATCGGTGGTGTTTGTGTGCTGCAAGGCAGCTTGGCAAGGTTGTTCCAGTTAGGCCGTTACCTGTTCTTGCCAGAAATCTGATATTGATGCAGAACAAAAGGAGCAAAAAACTACGAGCAGGAGAAAGAGGCTTATTCATAGCATACCATCTGGAATAGCCCAACACTAGCCGGTGAGGAATTGTGTCTTAAGAAAAGGGCTGGTCCTATTAGCAGAGTGTGAAGGTTGTCTCAGGCAGCTGGTTTTGGAAACGGAAAATGAAATAAGGTATTGTTGTGATATTTTTATTGTCAGGAAAGGGAGAAGGCATACACAAGACATATTTTGCCTTGGGTGCGCAGTGGGTTAAACTGCTGAGCTGCTGAGCTTGTTGAGTGAAAGGTCGCAGGTTCAAATCCGGGAGCGGCGTGAGCTTCTGCTGTCAGCCCCAGCTTCTGCCAACCTAGCAGTTCGAAAATATACAAATGTGAGTAGATCATTAGGTATGACTCTAGTGGGAAGGTAATGGTGCTCCATGCAGTCATGCCGGCCACATGACCTTGGAGGTGTCTATGGACAACGCCGGCTCTTTGGGCTTACAAAAGGAGATGACCACCAACCCTCAGAGTCAGACACGACTGGACTTAATGTCAGGGGGGAAACCAACCAACCTATTTGAGTATTACATATCACAGTGTAGGGCAGTGTTTCTCAACCCCCTCACGGGGGTCGCAAGGGGGTGTCAAGGGGGTCGCCAAAGACCATCAGAAAACGGTATTTTCTGTTGTTCATGGGAGTTCTGTGTGAGAAGTTTGGACTAATTCTGTCGCTGGTGGGGTCCAGAATGATTGTAGGTGAACTATAAATCCCAACAACTATAACTCCCAAATGTCAAAATCTATTTTCCCCAAACTCCACTAGTGTTTACATTTGGGCATATTGAATATTCATGCCAAGTTAGGTCCAGATCCATCATTGTTTGAGTTTCTGGAGGTAGGTGAACTACAACTCCCAAACCCAAGGTCAGTGCCCACCAAATCCTTCCAGAATTTTCCGTTGGTCATGGGAGTTCTGTGTGCCAAGTTTGGTTCAATTTCGTCATTGACGGAGTTCAGAATGCTATTTGATTGTAGGTTAACTATAAATCCCTGCAACTACAACTCCCAACTGACAAAATCAACCCCACCAGTAGACAAATTTGGGTGTATTGGGTATTTGTGCCAAGTTTAGTCCAGTGAATGAATATACATCCTGCAGATCAGATATTTACATTATGATTCGTAACAGTGGCAAAATTACAACTATGAAGTAGCAACGAAAATAATTTGATGGTTGGGGGTCACCACAACATGAGGAACTGTATTAAGGGGTCGCGGCATGAGGAAGATTGAGAACCACTGGTGTAGGGAGAAGCTGCATTTGCTTCTCTTCCTCAGGCAGCAAATTGTCTTGGGCTGGTCCACATACAAGCCTTTTTAAATGAGAGTTTTTCTTTTTCTAAGGCCCCTTTCCACACCTGAATAAAATCCCACATTTTCTGCTATGAACTGGGATGTATGGCAGTGTGGACTCAGATAATCCAGTTGAAAGCAGATATTGTGGGATTTTCTGCCTTGATATTTTGGGTTATAGGGCTGTGTGGAAAAGCCCTAAATCTGTGCTTCGGTGCATATGGAATGCTATGGAGATTCAGCTCAAACTAGACCTAGAATCATAGAGTTGGAAGAGACCTCATGGGCCATCCAGTCCAAACCCCTGCCAAGAAGCAGGAAAATTGCATTCAAAGCACCCCCGACAGATGGCCATCCAGCCTCTCTGTAAAAACTTCCAAAGAAGGAGTGTCTACCACACTGGGGTGGAGAGTTCCACTGCTGAACAGCTCTCACAGTCAGGAAGTTCTTCCTAATGTTCAGATGGAATCTCCTTTCACAAATGGGTCCTCCTCATTTTTAGTTTTACATCAATTGTGTGTGACATCTGTGAATCATAGAATCATAGAGTAGGAAGAGATCTCATGGGCCATCCAGTCCAACCCCCTGCCAAGAAACAGGAAAATTGCATTCAAAGCACCCCGACAGATGGTCATCCAGCCTCTGTTTATAAGCCTCCAAAGAAAGAGCCACACTCCGGGGCAGAGAGTTCCACTGCTGAACGGCTCTCACAGTCAGGAAGTTCTTCCTAATGTTCAGATGGAATCTCCTTTCTTGT